TTTATTGATCAATGAAACCAACTTTATGCCAGCTGTACTAATAATATTGAAAAGAAATTAAACTATACTAGTAGTCTGGGACTTGAACTGCCAAGTACCAGGTTGTGAAAGAATTAATTGTATATACTACCATGTGACCTTACCAACTAGAAACTAGGGATCGGGAGTGGCGAAGTTCCTTGTGGCCTAATGGAGTTTCCGCATTTAGAGAACTTGGTGGTGGGTCGAATCACATCAGAGAATTTTAAAACTGCTTAATTCCAAGCATTTCAGAAAGTAAAAGCACCAACAATGTTGCAATCAAACATTAGAATATAATTGTTTCACACCAAGAAAATAAGTGATAATGTAGAAAACGCATTTGTGTTTATAAAACTGTTTTAACCGAAAACATCCGACTAACACTGCGACATTGGGAAATTCTTTCGTTTTTATGCAGAAAAATACAGCATTTTTACAAGTAAAATCATCTTTAATAAAGTTATTGTTGAACTTGAGTTGTTGAACACACTACATATTTATTAATAATTCAAGACAAATAAAATACACAGAATATAGAAAATTATCATTTTTCTGTAATATTCTTGTGTAATCAGTAATTATTAAAATTATTTAAGGGTGCATAGGAAATACATTTCGTTATGAATTATTCTTAATATAAATTTCTGAATTATCTTATTGTCAAAATAAATTTTGTTCAGGTTCTTTTCTGCCAAAAAACGAAGGAATTTCATAATGTCAAAAAACGGAAAGTCATTGTCGTAGTGTTGAATATACTTGTTTTATAAGTGTTTATATATAAGACATGTGCACAAGTTTGTAAGAGTAAATAAAACATTTGTTTTTCGATTATTATCGGGTTATGTAAATATACTTTTAAAATATCACACAGAGTCGTTTTAAAAGTGGGAAAATATCAAATCAAACCATTGCATGGATAGCAAGGTGAATAGAATGAATCAAGTGAATAGATAACAATTAGTGGACTATGATTGGATAGAAAAATCGGATTGAGATGAAAATAAATATATATTTCAGTGAGAATATTATTATTATTATTTATTTATTTATTTTACTTGTTTTGACATTTTAATCTAGGCCGAATTGATCTTCATGATCCGTATTTAATTGCAGCTAAATACTCTAGTGTTTGTTTCACGTTTTCATCTGTTACAATCTTCAACTACAAATCACTCCTTATGTTTAAGCCAGTGAAGCCTATTTTCACCAATATCTTCAAAAGTATAAGAGCCATCCACATCACCAAGATAAAACACTGGTTGATAATAAATAATCAAGGGTCTGAGAAAGAGTTTGAAGCCAAAACAGATTATTATCCTGACTACAAATAAGTGTTAACGACGACAACGATAACGACAGAAAATTTCCGAGGTTATGAAAGAAAATAAAAAGGCAAAAACTAAAGTAAGTCTACTTGAATGATATTTCAATTAATAATGTTTTCTTCCGTTTTTGCATTAATATACATTTTAATTGTTATTGTATTTCCTGATAACACCAACCTGGCGATTTGGTAAATATTATTTTCAAAACAGTCCGTAATGTAATTGCCATGTATAGCAAGTTCCTCTCACCTAGTAATAGATAGTTATTATATATTATTATGATGAAGGTTATCTTCAATACTGATGAGCGGTGGTCGTCGCGCCGTGTCCTGTTCGACATGCAACTCATATCGACATTTATCACATCTCACTGCTGTTACGCATGCTATGATTGGTTGAGAATCAGTCACATGACTGAATATGGATATTACATCGCCCTTGGCTCTGGCATCAATCAATAATATAGTCATGACCACCATTCTTTGGGCAGGCAACAAATCGTGATATTGCCCTCACAAATACATGTATGTGTTATTATTTAAATATAACACGTGTAAAAAACATTGTTTGTTTCTATAAATTCGAACACGCGCTGCGCCCACTGTCCGATTGATCTAGTGTAAATTGTAGTCGAGAAAGTTCACTATAAGAGTAATTATAATCTAGCCTTGATTAAACCTCATAAATATTCATCGAAAAGTCAGTCATCTAAAATGTCATATTTAAATAATAACACATGCTTGTGAGGGTAATATCACGATTTGTTGCTTGCCCAAG